ATCCAACTGCTGTAGTCAATAAATTTATCAATGAAAGAGGGAGAGTGTGACAGTTTTGCGTGCGCGCGCCAACCTGTACGGCAAACAGGTTTTCTACTGTACAAAATGGTACAATATCGCTGTATATTTGTACTGTTATTTGGACGGTATTCGCTGCAGTTGGATAATAAGGAGTGCTGTAAGCTGTGTTAAGCCTTACAGCACTCCATATTTACATGTAAGTCAGAAGGTTCAGGCATAACCTGCATCAGTGTTTGGAAACGTCGGTATCAACACAGAACCTAATTAAGGTTTGAATTTGTAAGCCAGAGCTCAACAATTAGTAACACTAAGCCATCTAGCCCGTTCCAGGCGTACGCTTACATGTAGCAGTGGGGTGCTGACAGGGAGACAACGCGGAGAACGACTGGAAAGTAGCGAGGGGTGTGGGGCGAGAAAGGAACTTTCTTCCCCAGATCCCTCTGGTTCTCGCGCTCGCCTCGTTCCCCTTATCGCTTCCCACACCAATCTCGTCCACAAAGCCCTTTTCGCTCCTCTTAGCCGGCCAAGGCCCCGCCCGCTAAGAGGAACGAAAAGGGCTAGGGGGACGAGAATGATCCTACACAAACAGAGAGCCTGGAACAGGTTATAACACATCAGGAAGGCTCCCAAAATAATAACGAAAGGAGTTAATGTACCTCCCTTTTCTCCCACCAGTGATCGTCCTGGTTTCCTGTCAAAGAAAGAAAACAATAAACAGTAAAAATTTTGCCACTCTTTTTTTTACATGGTTGCCCTAAAATCCCAGTCCCTCTTTTAACTATGGTACTAATGATGGTGATTTCTTGGGCTTCATTTTCGACAGGTTAAACCGCAAAAGCGCAGGGGAAAAGGTGCATTCTTCAATTCTCATAACCTTTATATTGAACTCTACATGGATGGTACAATTGAGAAATTCAATACTGATCAGTACTATATGGCTAAACTGGCCCGTGATGAAAAGGAAAATTCTGATATGTTCCCTCCGTAGCTCACGAGTTAATTTCGGCGAATTGCTTTTTCAATTCATTGCACAAAATAAACAGTTTTTTGTTAAGTAGAAATCTTTTTACCTTCATGTTTGGAAGACAATTCCAGGTAAATGTTCACAACAACGGAGTGAGAAACGTGAATAAATATTTGATTCTTTCACGCGCGCATTTACCGACAATGGATCGCGGAGACACATCAATTTATCAGCAGATTAAAAAGCGCCATATAATAGATACCTTATTGAACTAGCTTGTTCGGCCCGGACTGGAGAATTTGAAGACTGGTCTCTTTAGTGTGTTTGTCTGTTTGATTGGTTTGTTTTTGTCTTTTTGTTTTTTAAGGTTTACGGTCTCGAAAGAACTCGCCCAATTTTTCTTCAATACGGACCTCACGTGCACGCCTCTTCAATAACGTAAACATGTACATGTATGTCTAGTTGAACAATGCTTACAACTCCGTCTTATCAGGCGTGAAGGTAATCCTAGTGGAGCTGGTTCGTTGACTTCGTCGTTCAGGGCTTGGACTTCTCTGTGCGATGCTCCCCAACTCGGTATCACTCACGTGGTCATCTTCTGAAATAACGCCCATATCCTTGTCTTGAAACGACGAAGGCTAGAACAGAAAAACCGGTACACAGACTTAAGGATAATGACAATACAATTAAGCCGAATCGAGCAGGAGTTCACAAACTTTGCCCTTACGAACATCAGCAAGCACTGGGCCTTTCCTTGCGCCTCTGTTTCAGAACTAGACCTCGTACAAAACCTTTCATATGAAAATAAGTTTGATTTGCAAAAGAATGAACTTGTAGGGGCAACATATTTCCATATGAATAGTTTTGCACCAAGACTCGAGGCAAAAGTCAACTCGGATATCGCCCATTAGAAAGATTAAGCTCTACAAGTGTTGTCTACGGCAGGATGTTGCCTGGTTCTGGATTCTCCAGATCAAGTGGGATGTCAGTTTCCGGGTTAACTTCAAAAGCGTCCGCGTAAAAATTCAACAATTCATCCAAATTCATTTGAGAAACACTCAAACTTCACAAAAAAGTATTCATACTTCATGTGAGGCTCACCGGTTTCTCTGTGCTTGTTCCACCAAGTGACTCTCTCATGATTCTCTTAGCGGCCGTGTCTCTGTGCATACTCCTTCTTCTTATGGATTCCAGTTCTCGCTCACTCTTCTGTTTTTCCCGTTCTGTTTACAAACAAGATGTGTCTGTTGTAAAGAATCTCCTTCCATAGATGTACGTGTACATTGTAGATTATTCCATGTACAAAGGTCAGCCAGGACTCAGCTGCAGGGCTGGGTTGTTCGAAAGCCGGTTCACGCTAACCCAGGATTAAAACTTACCGAAGCGTTAATTTTTCCTGTCTAACAATGTTTTTTTACTGCTAATGTTTTGTGTAGTTTGGGCTTACTCAAACTAAAAACTGAAGGGCAAACAGTGTCAACAGAAAACATCACCGAAAAGTTACAAAACTGAAGTTAAAATTCTCGCTAATCCTGGGTTAGTTTAATAGAGCTTTGAACGACCCAGCCACTCGGTAACTTATTCAAATCTATCCTCAGGTTAAATCCAGTTAACACGAGGTTAAAATTCAGCAACGCATTATTTCTGTTGTTCGATGCTATTTTTTTGGTACATTTTTATGATCTGTAACAGTGTACTTAAAATGGAAACATGGTTGGTTTCTTTTTGACAATAATATCGGAAATGTACCAGCGAAGAGGAAGAAATCAGAGTGAAGTCACTTGCAAACGTGACAGCACGTAACATCGCTTTTTCCCTTTGACGCCGTCGGAACAGGTCGGAACAGTTCCTCGAGCTTCGAAAATTTGGCACACGCTGCACTACAGGTTCCGTTGTTTACATGGCCAATTTACAGTCATAAATAATAGCTCACGGTCCCTTACAAATATAGCATCTGATATTTTTCAATGATATTTTTATTGCTGATATTTTTTCACTGATATTTTTTCACTGATATTTTTATTGCAGCATCAAAATTCTCCGTCCACAAAGTTCCCCGAATTTCTTATCTTTTGTAACGTAAAACAGAAAAACCACGAGGAAGGTTTGAGAATCTTACCAGCCTCTTCATCTGTGCTTGTGCCGGCCACATAAACTTCTCTACAAGACAAAATCCGGTATACAATGCTTAGTCAGTTGACCACTGCATAAATACTGGTTTGGGCTAAAAAAAAAAAAAAATTGTTCGCTTAATCAGAAGTTTTTAACTGATACGTGAAGAAGAATAATATTACAACTTGAGACTTGCCCTTACGAAAAACCTTTGTTGTCGTAGGATACTCAAGATATTTGAAGACCCTGAGGACTTTTTGGCCAAGAATCTCGAGGGTTCATAAAGATAAGATATTTCTAGAACCCCTACCGAATTTTGGTAAAGCCCCTCAAATGTAGACCTGCAAGAGGATCTTCGTTAAGATCTTTTCCGACCTTTGAGAATATTCAAAAAATCCTTGAAGTACACTAGCCCGCGAACAGGCTACCGAGGCGACAACCTCGTTCCCAGGGTCTCTCATCTTTCGCTCCAGGGGGCGGTAAGATGAGAGACCCTGGAAACGAGGTTGCCGAAGCAAGCAGATGAGCGCAAAAGAAAAACCGATTCGGCAAGCGCAGCCGAATCCTCTCTTCCGCAAAGTACATGTATATAGATACAAAATTGCAGCGCAAGGTCACAGATTTACTGGAAGGCGCATTCTTACCCTGTTTTCACTTTCTCTTTGAAAGATTCAATAAGAAATTTCCAGCGGTACCCATGCGCCTTTGATGTCTGGAAAACAGATAAAATAGTATGTTCAGTATTTCAATGTTCTCAGTTGATTGACTCGCTATCCCAAAGCCTGGAAGGAGATTGAGCAATGCACGGGAGAGTAGCAACGTTACATGATAAAAAAGCCATTACAGTTCAGAAAATCTTAAGACTTTCACAGTGGTGTTCCTTCAATTGATATTTTTAAGGCAAAACAATTCTGCATTCACTCAGTCAGAGACAGCGTTCACCAATGCAGTACTGCCTTTTGAAAATGTGAGTGTCAATACATGTGATATGTACATGTACACTGTATTTAAAGCTCATACATGTATCAATTTATTCCTTTGTCTTTGTACTGGGTGCAACAGAATTGTTTCACAAGTGATTGCCACTGACTTAAACCTGAAGATTTTGGCTGCTTCCTCTGATCTGTCAGTCTGAATTTGTTGGCTCGTTCGTTCGTTTATTCGCTTGTTTGTTCGTTCGTTCGTTTGTTCGTTCGTTCGTTCGTTCGTTCGTTCGTTCGTTCGTTTGTTTGTTTGTTTGTGCGTTCGTTCGTTCGTTCGCTCGTTCGTTTATGCAAACCTCTGTTCTAGGTGACTTGTCTTGTTCCACTTCAATAATTCATAAGCCCTTTTAAAAGCATTTCAGGGACTTCATAGAATTATTGCAGAATTGAATTTCTTTCATGTTATACATGTAATAACCTTTTCCACTTGTTTCAGTTGAAGCAAATCGTACAGGCCTGTCACAATGCAGCAAACCGGCCGTTCAAACTAACCAGGATTAAACACATAATTTGTTTATGAAAAGTACCTACCATCATCTTAGAGAAAAGCTTCTCCCAGTTCAGCACTTTTCTCTCTTGAGCTAACCTTTCACTCTGTACAATAAAGATACAGTTTTAAATGGACTAAAAGAACTTGACTTTCACATAGTTATGTAACACCTTTTTATTACTTCCTCTAGGAGACGCATACACCACGCCTGTTTAAAAAATATTTTGCAATCAATAGTGCATTCCCAATTCTGTTTGCAGTGTGTTACCCCGGCGGGGGTACTCCTGGAAAAATTGGGTGGGGGTGTGCGGCCCGCGTCCCAAAACCCTTACCCAATTTATGACTAAAATCTGTGATATTCCCTACCCTATTTGTGACCTGACCAAAAATTCGAAACCCTATTTATGACCTGAGCCTTAAACCAAAACCCTGTTTCAGACCTGCGTTATGAATAGTTCCCTAGTTCAGACCAATGTTAAATTACCGTAAACATAATTTGTGAAGGGCTTTTGTTGATTTCCTCTTCGATAATGACGGAAAAGTGGCTTCTTCTTACAAACATACCCATATCAAGGCTAGAGTGCAAAAACCATACCCTATTTATGACCAAAATGGGCAAAATCAGCTAAGATCGATACCCTATTTATGACCAAAACGGCTGAAAAACCATACCCTTTGGGGCTGCACATACCTATATACATGTNCCCCCCCCCCCCTGCCGGGTGTGTTACAACCTATACTAACAGTATGAACAAATACAAGGAAAACTGTGCACCTGAATTCCAACAAGAACAAGCTTCTGTAAGGCAACATTCAATTGTCTTTGTTTGCTGTAGAGTGACATGAAATTATAACAGATCGCAGTGAGTATTGTGTGCCATTTTATGTACATTGCAGTGTTCCAGATAAGTAAGGGGTCTCAGGTCAAAACCCCGACAAGGTCAGCTATATGACCTGACAAATTAATAGAAAATTAATAATGACTTGGATTGCTGGGAGCAGAAGGGTTGACCAGATCATATTCCTCATTGACACCCCACCTTGAAAACATCTGTAACCCTTTATAGTTTGAAAAAGTGAATTCATCTATTCCATTGTGTACTAATTATATGAATTTAATTAGATATAATATGGTTATAAAATTAATGTCCAATCATGAATGGGCAGGCAAATAGACAAGAAAACAGGAACACACACTGGTAAACATGGCACAAGGTGTTATTGATCATATTCAAGTTACTAAGTGGCAAAGCTCTAGGATTTAAAGAGATGAATTGTAAGCCTGACCATACATTTTAAAACAACTAGGCAATTACTGCACATACTCTACACAAATATGCAATGTATCTAGTCAACCCTATTTAAACAGGGTAGCCCTGTGCGGTACAGTGTACATGCTGCTTCTTACTTTTCGTAATCTTCATGAAGTTTTTTCAGTGCAGCACTCTTTGTCTCCCAAGGTGTGGAGTATAACTTTACCATCCGCACCAGTTCAGTGATAGGAACGCTGAGATCTGATGAACTACACAGGCAAACAAGAAACAAATCAATCAACAGCAAAGAAAACAGTTGATGGCCAGTTGGCTCCATAATGATAATGTTCCCAGTCTGTTCACTTGCGCAAAGGTTACACATACACCCCTGCAGATGCAGATTACCTCACACAAAGGGATTCACTGAGCGGATTGCAGGAGGAGGAGTGAAGTCAAACTGTATTTTTGTTTCATTATGACTGCAATTTCATCCTTTTTGCTTGGTATGCTTAAAGAATGAGAAATAAACTCATCTCTGCAATGTAGATGGTGTTTTGTACGAATCAAAGTTGCTGCTCTTTTGGGGTACAGTAATTTAAGTTTTTTGTGGAAGCAGACTGATTAAGAGTGACCCCGCCATAGAGCAAAGGTACAGTGCTATGCTGTGCACTGTGGAAACATGATTTGTAACATGTCCATGTCAGATACAGATCACTGCAGGATGATTTGAATTTGACTTGATCACCCCAGTCTGAGGTCTGAAGTCTGAACCCATTAATTATAAATGGTAATTCTAATTACAGTAGCTGCTGCATGCACGGTGCAAAAAAAAAAAAAAATTTATTTTGATTAGCCACTTATTTAACACATTGTTCAGAATTTTCAAATTAGTGTACTGATTATGTTGATCCTTGAAACGTCTCATTTCTCTCTCCTCTCGGCCTCTTTTCTGCTGGCTACACTGTATAAGCTAGTACATGTACATGTAGTTTGGAGGCAGGGAGTACTTTTCTCCCCCCCCCCCCCNACTCTCCCCACTCCCCACTCCCCTTCCACCTCCACCTCCCCTGGGAAGCCTCTGTGGATGAGAGAGGTTTTGTCTAGTGATCTGTAGGGCTGTGGTTTAAGAAAAATTATGAGGAGCTCAGCCAAAGGTTCCTGACCATGAAATCCTGGGTGCCCAGCACTTAAGGGTATATAAAAAAGAATTTTTTCAAGTCACCTAACAGCAAATGTTAGTTGTCTTTGGCAGCCGGGCACTTTAAGAGCACAGCCCTACAGTGTGTGTATCTGTGTTTAGAAAACTTATGATATTGCAAACTCAGATGTACACGTACAGTATGTACAGTGAAAATCCCAATTTCTCAAATCCTCCTGATAACTTGAACCAGAGTAAATTTCCATCTCCTCAGTTATGTAATTGTATCCCTGACTTCTTGTGCTACCCAGTATATCAAACCAATTAATTGTTGTGTCTTTTGAAGGTTCAAAAAATGGGATTCCACTGTACTATAATATTATTGGAATCTTGCTCAGAGGTTACTATAATTACCTTCTAAATAACTTTCCAGTGACCAGCGCAATTTTCAAAAGCAAACTTGGTGGTAAAGCATGCTGTAAAATAACATCGTGACATGAAACTATATTTTACAAACAACTATTACCCCAGTACAAGAATTCACACAACTAATAAATGGTGATCCCATCAAGATTAACATACTAGTCAAGACAGCTTTCAAAATCCTTGCTGAAGCATATATCACTATATGGATAACAGATGGGGAGCTATGTATATGCAGCTGACATTAATTAATGGCAAGTGAAAAGCTGAATTTCACATCTTATACCACCTTTTCTTCTTGTTTCATTACGAGTGTTGTTTCAGAAAGTCTCTAGGCTCTACAAATACACACCAAATTTATTATTTACATGTATTGCTAGCTCCATGAATGGGCAAGATGAACCATATCCTATGCTGTGATTGGCTGCCCAAGCAGGCAAGATGGCATTATCCATTTGCTCCCTTATTTTCTCTTTGAATGAGGAAATAAACTGAAGATTCCAAACTTACAGTACTTTACCACATTTCTAAATACCCCTAGCTTCTCAAATGAACTCCCCTCCATAAACTGGACATGTGGTACACTGTATCCTCGACTCTTTCTTGGTGTTTGAAAAAATTGTTTTGATAAAACACATGTTTATTTCATTTTTTGTGTTTTATAACAATATGTGCATGAATATACATGCACACCTTGGGCAATAATCTTGACCCTGCAACATGACCAGTACAACGCAAGCGTACTTTCCTTGCACTTCATATTTCTGTCAGTAGCAATCTTGTAACTTACCTTCAGAAGCTCATCTTTTATAGTCAACAACTGAATAAACAAAAAAACAAACAAACAAACAAACAAAACAAACAAAAAACAAAATTAAGAATACAATGAACTAAGTTCCTTATTCAGTGTTACTGATGTGCTTATTACATATCAGCCATTCAGGCTAGCTCCAAAACCAAGCAAGCTAAGGTGAACCAAGTCCCACACTGTGATTGGCTACCCAACTGGATGGCATTATCTTGCATTATCATTTTCTGGTGTTCTTTATTAACCATAAAATAAATCCTTGTGTGAGCCCCAATAAATTGTCTTGGTCCACCGCACACTAGTCGACAAGGCCGACAAGACGTTTGAGCTTGAGCACTGTCAGATATCACCCGACAAGCCCCGATCTTGTTGCAGACTTGTCTGAATTCACCGCACACTAGCCGACAGGTGAAGATTTTTCGATGGCTGACAAAAAATCAGCTAGTGTGCAGTGCCACCATTAGAGTTTATTTTGAACACAGGTTCTCTTATACACAGAATAATAATAAATACAATAATTATAACATTGTATGAAGTTAGACTGGGTTGAAAATGAAGGAGCAGTACACCACTATTAAGGAGCCTGGTCTTTCTTAAGAACAAACTTCTGATGAATTTTTTTAATGTGAATTAAAAAAATGGTAGTACCCACCTCAGAAAGTGAAGTTTGAAACAAAGCCAGACAATTCTGCACTCCTTCACAGAGTGTCTTGAATTTCTGTTGTTCTTCATGTGGTGTTGAAGTTCTCTAAAAAAAATTGTCAGTATAAATATTGCTAAAAAAAAAAAAAAGCAATTTAAGGATACAAAACTGGGCAGCACATGGATTTGAGGAAGTTTTCAGAGGGGGAAACAATTCTCAAAACATCTGAGAAAACTCAATCTTTTAACACTTTAGTCTTCCAATAAAGCGAAACATAGAATTCATTGGTCTTAAAGGAAATGCCATGTAGGCTGGATAACCATGCTATGTGTAGCTGTTGTGAGAGGAAATGAGCCCACACTCCTAGAACTCTCTTCTCAGGGAGGACCTTAACAGTAACCGGACCAGAGAGAGTGACAAAAATGAGCTAAAATGCCATCCAGTTCACAAACATATTCACTAACTTTATATCTTAACAGACACATTGTTTAAATTTGCCGAAACAACTGTACACATTAACTGCACATTCCTTTGAAAATTACGCACACACCTCACTTTCAACAATTTCTAAGTTAGAATCTGCTCTTTGAATCTCATGGGACTCTGCAAACTCAGGGACAGGTTCCAGTGATGGACTTGACTTCTTCTTCAATATACCTATAGTATGAGAAACAGTGAAAAACATTTATACTGCTGTTGATGGGGCATGCTTCATACAGTAAGTCAATAGATTGTACAGTGGAACTCTAAAATAATAAAATAACAAAAGGCCAGGGCCGAGTGTCCATATCATGATGGTTATGGTTTCACACAATTTTTCAATGCAAGGTGCCAATAAGGAATTCCAAGGGTCAATTCCCACTGTTCCCACCAAATCATAGTAAATTTTCTATTTATTTGTCGGGTCAGGTAGCTGACCTTGTTGGGCTTTTGACCAGCTGAGGCCCCTCACTTATCTGGAACACTGGAAGGTGTCAGGATTATAGAGTTAGAGAATGCATTGTACAACAATTCTACATGTAGGATGAAATAACCTGTCCATAATATTACAGTCCATACAGAGAGTCCAAGGTTTCACTGTCACTGTAGTTAGTTCCATGACAGATGGCATCAGTTAGTAGTCAGGTGGAACATATATTTTAGTGTGTGGGACTTCAGAGGTTCAGCCTTACGGACATTTTTATGATCTGACCTCCCCAAGCTCCCCCTGCCCCCGCTGCCTGTTCCTATCTCTCTTCCCCATAAACATCATCATCATCATCATCATCATCATCTTTACTTAAAAACATGGTAAATACATCAGGCATTAACAATTTAATGTAAAAGCTATTACAAAAGACTATGTATACAGATTAATCTTCTATAATTTAAAGTGCCTATGAAGAAAAAAATAATTGCTGCTTATTTGAAAGGCTTTTCAAAGTAAAGAAGAATGGAGTTTACCTTTTTGGAATATCTTTTTTTGTTCTAGAGATATTTATGTTTTTGTATTATGCAAATGAGGAAAGTGACGACGTCATAAATCGTTCCACTTGAACAGTAAAACACTGAATCAGGAATATCTCTAGAAATATTGGAGCAGTGTTCTTCAAACTTGGCACCAGAAATGTACATCACAAATGAAACAGAATGACACCTTCTGTGTTGTTGCCATGCCAACACTTTTGGCTCCAGTCTCTTTCTGTGAAAAACCAAATATGCCCATTTGCAACCCTTTGAGAAGGGACAGAGGGTCTTGCTTGGAACACACATGGTTCCCATATTGTCCTAACTCTCCCCATTAGATTGTTGGGAGTGGATGATCCTAGTATTAGATAAAATCCGGGAATTTTAGTTTTAATTAAAACAGGACCAGCGGCATAACTGTTGTCATGGCGATGGCATGATGGGTGTCATTTTGTTTCTTTTATGATGTACATTTCTGGTGCCAAGTTTAAAGAATACTGCTTTAATATTTCTAGAGATATTCTTGATTGAGTGTTGAACTGTTTTTGTGGAACCACCTATGACGTCATCACTCAAAATACAAAAACGTGAATATCTCTAAAACAAAAACAGATATTCCACAAAGGAAAATGCCATTCTTCTTTACTCTGAAAAACCTTTCAAATCAGCAGCAATTATTTTTTACTTCACAGGCACTTTAATAATATTGCTAACTATTAAAGAAAAGTAAACTAAATTTAAGCCTGTTTTACAAGAATGCCATGCTGGAATTAATTAACAATTGTCAGAACCATGAACCAATGAACAAGCTTCTTGAGATACATGTACGTGTATGTATAAGTTTGGCTTGAATCTATCTGAAATAAACTATCCGCAACGCGTACTTGTGGGCTTATGGCTAGTGTTATTCCATTGGGTTGGTTATTCTAGTCTTATGAATAAGCAACTAATAGAAAGATAAAAGTACAATAATAAATGAGTTTGGTACTACTAGTACCTAGTAATATTACTAGTACCTAGTCTACCTGTAGGGCAAAATATGCTCCAGGAGGTCTGGGTGTAACACCACGAAGAAGGCAGTAATGCCGAAACATTGGTTGATTTATACTGCCATTAAGCATCTTGTCAACAATATTTTTAACATTTACGTGTAGTTTAAAAGACGCTACACAGTTTCTTCAATACTGTTAAGTGTCATCCCTTGTGGATTTATAATGCATAAGCCCACAAAAAGCTTTACAAGATTTACTGAAGCACAAGCGGGTATTACTGGTTATATGTAATTTTTTCAGCAGCGTCAGTAATAAACAGTCAGATAGGTATTTGTTTTATAAGAATAAATTTCAACCTACCCTGCGGGCATTTGGTTTCTCCTACGCCGAACGAGAGATAACGCTCGCAGGGTTAAGTTTCAACCATTTTCTTAAATGAGAGGGCTTGGATTAAAAATAAAATTACAAAGTAAAATAGAACGTTTCATGATGGAATGCGAGTGTCTCAAAAATCTAAAGATCTTTGACATATGATGAAAATTAAGCTACAATAGTGTCCGTAACAATTTTAACTGGTTATAAATGTAAACAGCTTCAAACGCTTGACGAAAGAGGTCAGAAGATTTGACAGCCATAGGAAAGAACTCGTTAACTCTTTTCTATCGCGCTCAAATCTTCTGACTCAACTCTTCAAGACACACAATAAGAGGGCAATCCACTATCTCCGCAAGTCATAAACCATCAGTCGCCACGATAATTGAATAACAACGTTCATCATAAAATAGTTATGAAACACCTGCACAAACCTGGTCGTTTAGCAAGAGTCTCCTGTTTCTCCGCGTTAGCCGCGGGTTTGGATTTTTCCACCATATTGAAGACACGGAAAGCTATTGACAGCTAAAATTCCAGTTTCCTGAGCTCTTGTTACATTCTAGATTTGTAAAGTGATTAGAACTTCTTCTAAAGTCATCACTGCAACATGCAAACGAACTTGGTCGCCATTAATGATCTTTTGCTGACCGTTGTCATGGTATCCGCCACTGTTTGAATCCCCGGCCGCTGACCACGTTGGTAGGTCTGCAAGTCGTGCGAAGGACTCTAAGAGGAGAGCAGGGTGGGAGGAGAGGGTGGGAGGAGAGAGAGGGGCCCTTGTACCACTGAAAGCAGCTTCGTCTAAGTATCAACTAGACTCGGAAATGGCAAAAAAAAAAAAAAAAAAAAAAAAAA